TTAAGCTTGAACTGAGCTGCTATAGCCAAACCGTCCTTATGGCTTCCGTACGAACAACTGGGGCAAATGTCTTGTTGAAGTCGACTCCTAGTTGCTGAGAGTAAATTTTCGCGACCAATCGAGCCTTGAGCTTTTTAGTGGAGCCGTCTTCATTGTACTTGGTTTTGTGTATCCACTTAAGGCTAATGACATCCTTTCCTTCTAGAAGATTGACCAATTCCCATGTCTTGTTCTTCTCGATCATGCTCGATCATGTATATTACTTCATCCATTGCTTTTCTCCAGCCTTTATCTTGAACAGCTTCTTCCAATTTCTGTGATTCACAAGAGAAGAATGCTACATCACATGAGTCATGAATATCTTTAGTGAATGCTCCTTTCTCAGCAGTGAATCTGTGTTTGAAGTTGATGCATCTGGAGATCTTGGACGAGGAGAATTTTGATGTGACATGACTCCTCTCCTTTCTTCTTCAATGATGCTCGGTGCTGCGATTTGATGTGATTCACCATTCCATGTTCATACTTCATCAAAGATAACATCTCTAGAGACTACTAATTTGTTAGTATCAGGATCGTATAATTTGTAGACTTTGGATTCTTCACTGTAACCAATAAAGATGAGCTTTTCTCCTTTTTTATTAAACTTTTCCTTTCTTAACTGTGTTGGTTTATATGCATAGGCGATACAACCAAATATCTTAAAGAAATCCACTTTCGTCTATCGCATATACCAAGCTTCGTATGGCATCTTGTTTGGCATAGCTTTTGTTGTTGATCTATTTAAGATGTAGATTGTTGTATATACTGCCTCATCTCATAGTTTGTTTAGGAGAGTTTTACCTTTTAACATGCTCCTCGCCATCTCTACAATTGATCTATTTTTTCTTTCTACTACTCCATTTTGTTGTGGAGTGTACCTTATTGTTAGCTCTTTTTAATTCCATAATTTTAACAGAAATTTTGAAATTCATAGGAGGTGAACTCTCCTCCACAGTTAGTTCTTAGGACTTTCAATTTGTGGCCATTTTGCTTTTCTACAAGAGCCTTAAACTCAATAAACTTTGAAAATACTTCTAATTTTGCTTTTAAGAAATATACCACCATCATTATGCTATAATTATCAACAAATAATAAAAAATATCTTCTTCTATTTAATGATGGGGTTTGTGTCGGGCCACAAACATCATAATGCACCAATTCTAATGGGACTTTTTCTCTCCAAGATGTTTTAGTAACTGATAAGTGATGCATTTTTCCATAAATGCATCCTTCACAAACATTTTTTTTATCTATGTGTGGGAGTCCTATCACCATATTCTTCATTATTAGCAAATTTAGACTCTTGAAGTTTAAGTGGTCGTATCTTTGATGCTACGATAGAGAATCATTATTTTCTTTTGATTTGAGTGTAAGATTCTCTATAGACATATTTAGGGGAAAAACTTTGTTAGGAGCCATTATTATTCCGGCCAATATTTGTTTATTCTTATCATCTATCATCACACTTTCATTCTTAAAGAAATTGACTGCATATCCTTTTGGATTAATTGTCTCACACTAAGTAAATTTTGAGTTAGGCCTGGAACATAAAGAACATCTGAGATGTATTAAATCTTACCTTCCTTAATCTAGAATGCTATCACTCTCTTTCCTTCAATGTTTTTAATTCTGTCTCCAAGCTTTTATTTGAGAGCTTACTCCATCCTTCAGCTCTACGAAGCTGCTCTTATTTCCTATCATATGATTACTATATCCACTATCTAAATACGAAGTATATTTTTCTTCTGATTGTACATTAAACCATGAATAAAATAGGTGATCCGTTTCTACTTCTGTATAGTGGGCTTCATTATTTTTCTGCCACCAGCAATTTTTTCGGGAGTGATTAGTATTTCTACAGTTTGTGCATTTAAATTTATAGTTATATGTGTTATGTTCAGACTTACTATAGATTTTACAACAGGAGATAGACTTATCTTTTTAGAAATCTTTGCCTCTCTTATTCATTCTTCCTTGTCTCCCGAACTTTCTTTTCATGTTATTTGCCTCTTCTATATTGTGATTTTTGAGAAAATATTCTTTCTTTATTTTCTTTAGTTCCATATCCTCCTTTCCTTAGACTAGAATGCTTGCTCCGCCTCTTTGCTTGAAGATCTACTTCTTCTAAGCTCATGTGACTCCAAAGAAGCCATTAGTTCATAAAAACTTAGCTTTGATAAATCTTTATATTCTTCTATGACAGTAACAATGTGATCCCATGTAAGGAAAAGACTTCTTAATATCTTCTCAACAATCTTTTTATCCTCTATTTTGTCCTCATAGCTTCTAATTTGATTAATAATTGAGGTAACTCTATCAGAAAATTCTTTCACGGATTCATGATCATTCATCTTTATGTTATCAAAGTCTCTCCATAAAGATTGTAGTTTAATAGAGATTACCTTATTGGAGCCATTGAATTCTTGTTTGAATATGTCTCATGCATCCTTTGATTTTGACGCAGACATTATTTGGGGAAAGATTGCTTTGCTTACCCCTTATTGGACAAAGAGGAGCGCGTTCACATCCTTTTTCTTGTTCTTCTTATACTCCTTTTGCTTTGCATGTGTCCATGGTGCTAACATCACCGAGTCATCTGGACCCTCATAGACATCTTCGACAAGCTCCCAAAGTTCTTGAGAGATGAAGAATGTCTTCATTTGGAGGCTCCAAAAGTCATAGTTTTCGCCATAAAAAATGGGGCTGAGTTTTGAGAGTAGTTGAAAAGAGACGGGGTAATTGGTGATGAGACTGTCATTTAGAATGGTAGTGAAAGGCTAAAGGCTTTCAAGGTTGATTTGAGGCGAAATAGGATGGCTCTGATTCCAAACTTTTTGGAGTTGCGGAAGCTAGATGGGTAATTGGTTTTAGTTTTAGAGGATTGAGAATGGATGAATTAGAAAGGAAATGAAAAGTTAGAAGGGGAGAGGCTAGCTTGAAGAAACTCTGTTTTAATTGCTTCAAAGCTTGTTTACAATGCTTACATCCATTGCCTATTTACAGGCACATATAGAACTATCTAGAGAGTAGATAGTTTACATGAAACATTCTAGAGTATTGTATAATATTCCTATCTTTTAGAAATATCTTATTTTTGTTATATTTCTAGTCCTAGTTATTTCTAGAAACTTTCCATATTACAAAATTATTGTAGAGTGTTATAGAGAATTACAAATTACTTCTAACAGTTAGAATGCCAAAGTTTTGAATAAGATGTCTAGAGTTCTTAATTTTGTTTGTTAGACTGCCAAAGTTCGAATGAGATGACTCAAGATCATGATCTACTGCCCCCATGCTAGATTTTGCATGGATCCATCAGTTTCAGTTAGGTTAGTTGCTTGCTCATGTGGAGCAGCTGATATAAGACTTGTCTGTAAGTTAGGTTACATTTCATGTGGGTTCAGATTGCTGCCGGCTGATACACTAAGTGCTAATATTTCTATAAACATATACTAACTGCCATTTGTCATCACTGAGAGTTATATTATAAAAAAAAAATTCTGACGGATACGAATCTAGATATTTCACTACAAAACCATATCTGTAACCATATATTTGAGTAATCATATCTGTATCTTAACAGATACGGTTATAGATATTTCCTCGGATACAGATACAGATTAACACCCCTATGCACTACCCCAGCCAAAAAAGAAAGAAAGAAAGAGAACAAAAGAAAAAAGAAAAAAACAAACTAAACTTTTTTATTCCACTAAACCCCTCTGAACATTAGGTTTATTGCACATAACTTCCATGAACTTTTTATTCCACTAAATCTCACATGAAAGTTTCTCCTTTAATTCCCCAAATTAGCACCATCAGCGGCCTCCAAAAAATAGCCTTGTATAAAAAGTACGAAGTGGTATTTTTTGGCACAAAGAGTTTATTTTCTACTTTTTATCACATGCTTGCCATGTGACACGTTAGAGTTGATATACTAATTTGGGGATTAAACAAGAAATCTTAGATGAATTTAGTTGAATACAAATAGGGGGTTTATGTGGAATAACCCATAAAGTACAAGGAGGTTTAGTGGAATTAAAAAAGTTCAGGTGGTTTAGTGCAACACCCCAGGGGGTTTCTGGAATTAACCCTTCTTTTAACCTGAGCAGACATAGTAGTGGCATTCCCCTAACAAAATGTATCATGCTATTATATTACCAGCATAAGTAGAATAGCATAAGGATAATTGGGGGTTTCTATTTATTTTAGATATGTCTCCGTAAGCTATTAGAAGCCTGTCATGTTTCAGTGTTCAAAGCATTTTCAGACACCGTAGAATTGTAGTACACTTGGCACATTACCCTCCATACAACTCCCTTCAAACACCGTCGGCTCTTTAATGTAGCTGTGTAGAAGTTCAACTTATATCAAACTATTCGTTGTATTTATTAATTAAGTAATTAATTTTGAGCAGAGCAGTGAGACGTAGTCGATACATTATGGAGCAAAAATGTTTAGTGACCTGTCTACAGTTATGCATCTTGTGTTGAAGTAAGTAAGGTCATTTAGGCATATTTTTTCTTCTGTCAGCCAAAATGTGTTGAAGTAAGTAAGGTCATTTAGGCATATTTTTTCTTCTGTCAGCCAAAATGTAGTATTGTACTATGGCTGCTGGAGTGTCATAAATTTTGAGGAACTAACAAATTATGAAAATACGCATGAGTACCTGACTGCAAATACATGAACCTAAATGCCGAAAGGAAATATTCTTGAAAGTTTGTCTGGCAAAAACTGCTCCCATGAACTGAGGGCAAAATACGAAAAAGGAATCACAACTTCTACAAATGGAAGAAGGTTCCTTACTGTTATATAAGCCTGACAATTTGGCAATTGAACTCGTCATGTAGAACACAAAACAGTAAATTGAGAAATGATTTCTCTTGTTGCTGCTGTAAGGATTATAATTGTTCACTTTGAGAACAAAACTGAGGCGTTTAAAATGGTGGAAGATAGAACTGCTGAATTTGGAGTGCGTATAAAACTCATGTCTGGCTCAAAGTATAGTTTTCCATCACATGAAGTATTACAAGGAATAGTACATCACCATCTCATTGTACAAATAGATAAACACAAAAATATACTATCCTCATGAACTGACTCTTTAATTTACAATAACAAACTATCAATGTGCAGGGTTTTTTTTTCCCCTCGTCTTCTCCTATTAACGCTAGGAGCTCATCTCTGATTCATCGATTACTTGCTGCAAATACTTAAAAGATCTCCGGTAACTCACAAAACCCATGAACCAAAACTCAAAATCATCAACTGTAACAATCTGGACATACTTCTTGTTAGGCTTATTCACATTCTCACTTGGACTAACTCTCTTGATCTTCCTCAATGGAATCGAAACTTTATAAGGAACTCTGATCAAATCTCCTTTAGGAGAAGTGAACGTTAATGGTCTATCACTGCGAAATGCAATTTTCTCCGTAGAAATGAAGAGCAACCCTGCAATAGGACCAGATGATGTCGATAGATAACATTGACAGGCTTTCAGAAGCTTCTCTCTTTTATTGACAGAGAAATATCTTCTGAAGACATTTTCAATTCCTCCTGCCTGAAGAATTCTTGCCCCCAAGCTCAACTTTCCTTTTACAGTTTCAGATATCTTGCGTCCCAAAGAAACTGGGGGGAAAAAAGAATTGTAAGTTTTCATTATTGATTGTTATTATAGCAATGCTTTATATTTGTGACAAGGGTTAATTGAGGATAGACCCCCTGCAGCTCTATTGTTGGAAAAGTTCTTTTTTTTTTTTGGATAAATAAACCTCCTGATGGTAAATGAGTCAAAAAAAATTTTACTCAACAGGTCTATCTGCAACAATAAAACTACAGGAGGTTTATCCTCAATTAACCATATGTGATAACAAACTGTAAACAAATTACTCACCGTGATCTCTAATTCCTCTTGCGTATGTATCTGCCTTCTTGCCAAACTTGTTCATCCAATCAATAACTGAATCCTTCGTATCTGCATATCAAAATTATCTCTCTCTTTAGAACAGCTTTGATCAAGTTGAATCAAATATATGATAAGATAATGAGCGATGATAATTACTCTGTCGATATAGAGAGCAGTCAGCTGCATATCTGACATTGGCCGCAGGAATTCCAATCACCTGACCATGATTCTGGTTCTTCATCTTTGATCTCAGACTGGTGTATCTTCTTCTTTTTCACTCTTTGTGATTGTTTAGATTGAGGAATGTTTCTTGGTTAAGACAGAAGAGAAGGAAGGGGGTTTTTTATAAGGTGAAGCAACCAACAAGGTAGCAATATTCAAAGTAGTAGTGGTTCAATGAATCAGCAGCACATGTGATGGGGATGAAAGACATGCTGTTGTCGACAATGTTAAGGAAATGGGTAAAAGCAACTTTGTTGTAATGTCTTCTTCCATAGATTGAGGATAATGATAAATAATGATAAATAGCTTAACGAAAACCGCAGGTTACTAAAATTAAAAAGCATTGCCTGTTTTCTTTTGGAAAGATTTGAGCTAAGGGTAGACAAACAAAAAAATATAGGGAAAAATACTTCCAGCCCCCAAAAGCCAAGAAAACGTGTTTTCCACCACCAAGACTTTGTCAACGGGTGTTTTGCCCCCAAAAATAAAGAGTTTGTTCTCTGAACCCCCAAAACATAAAACCCAAGAGATTAAAATATATGAAAACCATAATACCCTTCTCTCTCTCTCTTTATCATGATGTACTGAGATGATAGTTGAAATGACTGACGGGGATTATTTTATTATTTTCGTTTTTTATTATTTTCGTTGTTGATAAGGGGGAACTAACTGTTTGTATTGGGAGATTGTTAAAGTTAGGGGTTAATTGTTAAGCTTATGATTTAATTGTTAATGTTACGGATCAATTGTTAAGGTTATGGATCCTTTCTCTCTCTATCTCTCTTTCTCTTTATCATGATGTTACTGTGATGATCTTGAAATGATTAAAGAGGATTGTTATTTTATTATTTTTATTTTTTATTATTTTCATTGTTGATGAGGAAACTAATTGTTTTTATTTGTATTGGGAGATTGTTAAGGTTTATTATTTTCATTGTTGATGAGGAAACTAATTGTTTTTATTTGTATTGGGAGATTGTTAAGGTTACGGGTTTAATTGTTAAGATTACGGGTGGAAACTAATTGTTTTTATTTGTATTGGGAGATTGTTAAGGTTACGGGTTTAATTGTTAAGATTACGGGTCAATTGTTAAGGTTACAGGTTTAATTATTAAGGTTACGGGTTTAATTGTTAAGATTATGGGTCAATTGTTAAGGTTACGGGTCAATTGTTAATGTTACGGATTTAATTGTTAAGGTTGTGGGTTTAATTGTTAAGGTTACGATTCAATTGTTAAGGTTACGAGTTTAATGGTTAAGGTTACGGGTTAATTGTTAAGGTTACGGGTTTAATTGTTAAGGTTACGGGTCAATTGTTAAGGTTACGGGTTTAATTGTTAAGGTTACGGGTCAATTGTTAAGGTTATAGGTCAATTGTTAATGTTACGGGTTTAATTGTTAAAGTTACGGGTTTAATTGTTAAGGTTATGGGTCAATTATTAATGTTACGGGTTTAATTGTTAAGGTTCGAGAGAGAGAGAGAGAGAGAGAGAGAGAGAGAGAGAGAGAAGGGATCCATAACCTTAATAATTGACCCGTAACCTTAACAATTAAACCCGTAACCTTAACAATTGACCCGTAACCTTAACAATTAAACCCATAACCTTAACAATTAAACTCGTAACCTTAATAATTAAACTGTAACTTTAACAATTGACCCGTAACCTTAACAATTGACACGTAACTTAACAAATAAACCTGTAACCTTAACAATTAAACCCATAACCTTAACAATTAAACTCGTAACCTTAACAATTAAACCCGTAACCTTAACAATTGACTCGTAACCTTAACAATTGACCTGTAACCTTAATAATTAAACACGTAACCTTAACAATTAAACCCGTAACCTTAACAATTAAACTCGTAACCTGAACAATTAAACTCATACCCTTAATAATTGACCCGTAACCTTAACAATTGACCCGTAACCTTAACAATTAAACCTGTAACCTTAACAATTAAACCTGTAACCTTAACAATTGACCCGTAACCTTAACAATTAAACCTGTAACCTTAACAATTAAACCCATAATCTTAACAATTGATCCGTAACCTTAACAATTAACCCGTAACCTTAACAATTAAACACGTAACCTTAACAATTAAACTCGTAACCTTAACAATCTCCCAATACAAACAAAAACAATTAATTTCCTCATCAACAAAGAAAATAATAAAAAATAAAAATAATAAAATAACAATCCCCTTCAATCATTTCAAGATCATCATAGTAACATCATGATAGAGAGAGAGAGAGAGAGAGAGAGAGAGAGAAGGGATCCATAACCTTAACAAGACCCGTAACCTTAACAATTAACCCCTAACTTTAATAATCTCCCAATACAAACAGTTAGTTCCCCCTCATCAACAACGAAAATAATAATAATAAAAATAATAAAATAATCTCCGTCAGTCATTTCAACTATCATCTCAGTACATCATGATAAAGAGAGAGAGAGAGAGAAGGGTATTATGGTCTTCGCATATTTTAATCTCTTGGGTTTTGTGTTTTGGGGGCTCAGAGAACAAACTTTTTATTTTTGGAGGCAAAACACCCGTTAACAAAGTCTTGGGGTTGGGAAGTACGTTTTCTTGGCTTTTGGGGGCTGGAAGCATTTTTCCCAAAAATATATATAGAGGGTTCTCTATGGAAAATCATACATGGAGACAGAGGATGAAAACACGAATCTCTATGCAGTATATACACACCAATAGCAACTATCAGTGCAGTCACTACTGTCTATCAATGCAGTTACTTGTGCAGTCTGCATGAATAAACAATAGTGACTTTAATAGCTTATAGTGGTTTGTGTAAGAACATTCATGCTAGGCCAGGTATTTTCACCTACTATCTCCCTATACGATTTTCAATTGAGGGACCTTTGTAGCATTTCTTTTTCAATGGTAGACAAGCTTATGTGTGAGTGAATCATCAAAAGAGGTTGTGGAGTTGCACCCATCTGATGTGCAAAATCTCTCACCAGTCTCTTCTTTCCTCCTGCTTTTATATTATTCCTTGTCAGTTGCCATTATATAGGTTTTATTACAATTGGCATCAATAGCATTGAGTCAGCTGCTTTCGATAAGAGTCTTTCTGAGCTGATCCCATTGGCCTTATCAGTGTGTAAAGAGAGACAATTCCAAACCAAAGATTCATATCTCAACCGATTTGATAAAGGAATGCAACAGGAGACTTTTTATTGTTTAAAACACAGGAAGTTCATCTCTTACAGAAGCTTTTTATCTTATCAACTACCAAAAGCCCAAATAGATTATATGATATGCTTATAACTTATCTAAAGTCCTAGAGAGTACATAAAATTTTTAAAAAAATCTTGCGCCAGAACATTAATAAAAAGTAGTGGGCAAAGTTAAATACAGAAAGCAGAAGCATACTGTTGTGCGCAGCGGAAATTTCGGCAGAGTTTCTGATGCACAATAAGAGAGAAAGATCAATAAGAATTCCCGTCCCACCAAGGAAACAAGAATCTGAAGCGAATATCTCAACAAAGTGAGATATCAGCTCTTCCTCTCATCAGTTCTAGGACTGACTTGTCGATGGATCCTAAAAACTATTACAATGGTCACAAACACAAACAAACTAATTTTACGTGGTTCGGCAAACTGCCTACGTCCACGGGGCAAGGAGGGGGATCTACAATTAGAGGGAAGAGAATACAACTAAGGTTTACAATCACTCAATCTAAACCCTCACACAATACTCAGATCCATCACACAAATAGGGATGCCAAAAACTCTCTCAAAAGAGCACAAAAGACTGCACAAAAACTCCTCTCGAAGTCTGCACTTGTACCAGCCGTTCACCCCCTATTTTGTTTGCACGCCACCTAAGCCAAAAATCTCCACAGCCAACCCTTGCGTCTGCTACAGCCGCTAATAGAAGCCCCCCAACTTGAACTAAACCCTGGGCTAAAATTAGGGATCCTATTTATAGCCTCTTAAGTGGGCCTAGGTAAAAAAAATCCCACTTCGTTCACACATACCTGTGTGTGTGTGAACTTTTTCAAAATGATCTAACATAATTACAGCAAAAATAAGTTTAGATAATCAGGAAGAAAAATAAGAAAAAGAAAAAAGTATTCCTCATAGATATTTTGATCACCCAACTCAACGAATAGAAGATGACATCATCTGCAACATCATTCCACCTAAGACTATCAGCAATGGAGTCTTATTAATTGGAAAGAGACACCTACTAGTGTCCTATTGTAGGCATCGAAAATTGCCTATAGGTCTCCACAAACGGTTCAGTGTTAACGAGCGACAATGAACATCACCATCCGACCCATATGAGCCTAATCGACGTCGACGAACGACTGAAGTGAATCGACGAGCTACATGAGCGGATGGGACTTCGGAACCACGAAGACCCGGACCCATCGGGAAACCCGGCACTGTTCACAAAAAGGACAACGCCCCTCGCGCCTCGACCACTCTACAGATAATCCAATCACCAGAGCAGATCGAACTCTTCGTCACGCATCCAACGCACCCGGAATCACTCAAATCCAAGTCCGGACGAAGAATCTACAGGGAAACAAACAAAATACACCTAAACGGAGTCCCGGCCAGTCGAAATACCCCGGGGTGTCTAGGAAAAGCCTAGACACCCCAGGGGTGTCTCGGCCATGGCCGAGACACCCCTGGGGTGTCTAGGCTGGCCGAGACACCCTAGGGTGTCTCGGCCAAGGCCGAGACACCAGGGGGTGTCCGCCCCCCCTAGACCCCCCTAGACCCCCCTACACACTCTCATTTACCTATAAATAGCCCCCTTGGGCCTTGCTTTAAAAAGGAGGATTTTTGGAGAGCCTCGGCGAAGCCCTGCTGCAGCAAAGAGTCATCGAGCGCTTCAACCAAGGAAGAGAGGTCGGCATCAGCCTTCATCACCCTTTTCCCCCCTCTTTCCTTAGTATCGGCCTTTAGCGTTGATACTAAGAAGAGCTATTACCTCGTTTTAGCCGAGGTATACGCTTATAGCTTCTAGATCTCACGCGGATCGACGAAGCTCTGTCCGATATTTCTGGACCGGAAGTTTCTAGATCTCACGCGGATCGACGAAACTCTGTCCGATTTATCCGGAACGGATCTGATTGCCCCGGTGGTCCACGGATATCAACATCCCCGTCACAGGCCAAAGACCCACGCAAGCGAGACCGCACCAAAACGGGATCTCGTGTTTATTTTCGATAAAGTTGTAATCTTT